CTAGTATCGGTATCGAGTTGAAAAGTTTAGTATCGTGACAACCCTAGTCCTTACATTTTTAAAAAGTTACTCGTTACTCTTGGCTTTGTTTTAATGTTTATAAATGTTTATTTCACATCATGTGCGCCATCCAATGCAGATCATTGGCTCCATCCACATCTAGTGAAAACTAGTGTGATTGGATGAGTCATAGAAAACAAACACTCATTGGTTAGCTAAAGGAAATCATCAGAAGCAAACAGGTGTTCTTCAAACTGCAAATGTGAATTGTCTATGCCATGCTACAATGTGGGATTCAGAAAAAGGTGTTGAAATTCCCGAAAGGTCAGACACAGGCGAGAGCGAATTGGGAGATGAAGACCAACAAGACCTCCCTCATCCTTGGCCCTATCTCAAAGACTTTTTCAAAATGGTCAAAAAATTAAGCTTTCAATTCATATAGTGGCATCTGGCTGTTTTTTTTTTAAGGTTACTTTATACTTTTATACTTTAAGTAGTTTTTGGAGCACATACATTTACCAGAGTGTTTTTAAACTGCAGTATCTGTACTTCTACTTAAGTAACGAGTGTACGTACTTGTAATTAACCTGTAATCAACATGTTTAGTTTCATTTTAGTTAGATAAACATGTAAACAGAAATCTAAAAAAAGCTCAGTGGGATGAAGAGAATCAGATTCAAACCTTCCAGGACCTTCCTGCTGTTTTCTTCCCAGAAAAGTTTATGTTAGAAGTTCAGTTTTTCAGAAAGTGGACAGAAAAACAGTTTAATTTATTAGATTATTGAAATGTGGAACAACGAGTCCTGGAAATGAGTCCAAATGTCAGCGTTTTGATTCAGGTTGCTGCTGTTCTGCAGCACAGGGAAGGTTCTGCTATGGGGGCATTCCTGCTGAGTGATTCTTCTCACCCACATGGATGGGAACGTCGAAAATCAAAATGTGAGGACTAACGTCATGCAGAAAGAATAACTAGTTTATTTTGAGCCTTGGAAATTATCCCAAAGAGGTCGACAGTCACTGAACCACAACATCACTGGCAGAGTTTCATTCAGATTCTCATTTGCTTATCATCCTTTATTTTTGCATAAATCAGAGAGATTCATTGTAAAATATGTCCAGAAGGACTGCAGGATTTGTCTGTAAAGTTGTTTTTTGTTTTTGGGAGCTTCAGCAGCTTTATTTGTGGTTAACCCTCTGCAGGTTTCAGGAGGTGCTCTGAAGATGACTCTATACCAGTATAAGACCTGCCCGTTTTGCAGCAAAGTGCGAGCCTTTCTGGACTACTACGGGCTGCCGTACGACATTGTGGAGGTGAACCCTGTGATGAGGCAGGAGATCAAGTGGTCTGCATACAGGAAGGTGCCCATCCTGATGGTGGACAGCGAGCTGGTGAGATGTTCTGAGCTCTAAAACCTACATGGTTTACATTTTTAACCAAAATAATTCCTGAAAATCAGGAATACCATCCTCAGCATCCTCCATGGGTTTTATCTTCTCAGCCACTATAACCTACATTTGCAATTATATATTAACACACAGAAGATAAACGCAGGACACTTTAAATGCATTTTTAATGACGACATTTCACTCTCCTCCTACAAAATTTATGAACTTTGCAAAAAAATATTTTTTATTTCTGCAGCAACTGAATGATTCATCTGTCATCATCAGCTCCCTCAGGACTTTAATGCTCAGCAAGTAAGTTTCACAAATGTGATGTTTTTTTTTTTTTATTGAAATATCCATTTGGTATTTCTTGCAGCAACACTTCTTACTTTTTGAACATGACCATTAAAAGGAAAAACAGCCCACAAGGAGGAAGATAAATATTATTGGATAACTTGATGCTTAACATAGAAGTTTTAAATTAATCTTACTGTAAAAATGATTATTAAAGTGCTAAACACAAAAAAAAATGTAAAAGAAGAAGTTATCAGAATAAATAATAAAATAGATCAATTTAAAGTTTCAGAAAAGAGCACAACATAAAATACTATAACAAGTAAAGCTGGTTTAAAAGTCAGGAACATAAGCTGTGTTTTTTTAATAGGAGGAGGTGAAGAAGAATTTTTCACATTAGAGGACAGATTCTTCTTGCCTCGTGAGACCATCCTGATCTCGCGAGCTTTCAAGGTTTCACTGGCAGATCAGTCTCGAGACTCTCCGTTAAAGAAAATCTGGATCCGTCCACCAAACGAACGTCCAATCAGCGTTGTCTTTG